GGGACCCCTGGGCTGTGTAGGTGAGTGCGGGGCCGGGACCCCTGGGCTGTGTAGGTGAGTGCGGGGCCAGGACCTGCTGTGGGGACAGTGGGTGCAGCACGTGTCGTGTCTGGACAGGGTAAGCTCTCAGTGCTTTTTGGCTATTTGTGTAAGATTCTTTTATTTTAACAACTTCTGAGGAGAATAAAGATAGTAAGTTGGAACTGAGTTTTTTCCTTTCCTTGAATAACATGGGTTGTTACCCTGAATCAGGGTCTCTTCCTCGGCACTGCTGACATTGGGGCTGTCCTGGGCGCTGTGGGGGGCTGAGCAGCGTCCTTGGCCCCACCCGCTCGATGCCAGGGGCACCCACAGTGTGACAACCACAGATGTCCCGAGACATCACCAGTGTCCCTTGGGGGCAGGACTGCCCAGGTGAGACCCTCTGACCCAAATTGATAAGAAAAATCTCCCAGCATTCCCTAACACTCTCCCTTTCATCCAGGCACCCCTCGTCCACTACTTTGTCACCATGTTGTTGGACCCTGTGCTATTGTGATATAATAAGAAATATGTTTTGGTCTTTGTCCCTGGCTCCTGGCACAGAGCTCCTGAAACCTTTGTAATTTCCTAAGCAACAGAGGTACTGGGAGCGTCCTTATTCATAGATTTGGTCCCTGTCCCTGATTCCCGCGCTGAGCTCCTGAATCACGTGGAATTTCCTGGCTGATAGGAGCGTCTTTTGTTCTAACAAGGCGACTCTGGGTGGGTTCCTGGATGGGGGCTGGTCACCAGAAAGACCAGGCCGTGATTAGAAGCTTGGGACTTTCAGCCCCACCCCCATCTTCCAGAGAGAGGAGAGGGGCTGGAGATGGAGTGAATGATCGATCACGCCTATGTGAAGGGGCCTCCATAAACATCTCTAAACTAGGGGGTTTGGGGGGATTCTTGGTTGGTAAAAGCATCCATGTGCCAGGAGGGTGGCGCACCCCAACTCCACAAGGACAGAAGCTCCTTGCTCGAGACCCTTCTGGACCTCTCCATCTGGCTGTTCACTTGTGTCCTTTGTCATCCCTTTTATTATGTGATAACTGGTAAACGTGAGTGGGTGTTTCCCTGAGTTCTTTGAGCAGCTCTAGCAAATTAATCAAACCCGAGGAGAGGTCATGGGAACCCCGATTTATAGTTTTTGGGCAGAAGCACAGGTGACAGCCTGGATTTGCGATTGGCGTCTGAAGTGGACCATCCTGTGGGGCTGAGCCTCTAAGCTGTGGGATCTGTGCTCCCTCCAGGCTCAGTGTCGGGACCGAATTGATTGCAGGACACCTGGC